CAAGCTGCCTTTGTGCAGATGGGTAATTTATTTATTTACATGACGTGAATACAAATTGACAATTAGAGTTAAAGATATTTCATTTTTCTGTAATTATTTCATACAAAACAAAGGTTAATAAAACTTAATCAAAAGAAAGTTTAAAACCTTAAGATTTCAATTATAATTTTAATTTGGAGAAAATCTGTTGGGATACATCATAAATCAAAATTTGATGTTGCACATTTTTCTCCAAGTGTCACATGGAATGTCCGAGCAGGAATGGGTTAAATGTCAGTTTATGGTTATTTCAAACTAATAATTGTTTTATATCTGTTTCAAATAGGTTTTTATGAAAAATAAAGAGCTACTTGATACAATAACTGACAAACTCTGGAAAAAAAAAAGAAAAACACATTGTACCTGCAATCGCCTTTGGTTTTCCTTAAACACCCCCAAGGGATCATCAAACTGTCTATAGTAATCTAAAACAGATCGCACATCTTCAACACCACTTGTGGCAACAGCTATAAGAGATAGTGGATAATTGTTTCAACCAGAACACTTTTCACAATAAATCAAGAATTTTGTACAGGTCAAGTATATGAATGCAATATTTAATTTCATAAAAACATATCTAACAGTAAATTTCTATAATTAAAAATATTCTATAAAACTAATTAAATAAAATAACATTTTATAGTTTAAAAATAACTTTGGAAATTTTAGGCATATTTAAAGAAAATTCTCCCTATAGAAGTTTACAGATTTTATGTTTTTACTCAAGATCTCTTTGAAATTATTTTTATTGAAAAGCAGAAAATGTTTTGAAATTATAAATGAAAGGGTCTAGAATGGTAAGATTTACTATGATGCTAATAAATCATGTTCAAATAGTAAACATTTGTTTTGAACTGAGAGAAGAACCCTACCTCAAAAATAAACATCCCCCAATCCCATAAAAACTATTATATTTAAAAAATTATTGACTAAATTACTATTCAAACTCTTTTGAATACTTATAGAACTAAAAGCTGTACCTTAAGGAAACTTTTAGAAAATAAAATTTCTGTGTAACTTGGAAACATACCCCCACAGTGGGTTTGACTCAACATTGCATGAAATTATGTATATCAGAAATACAAGAAGACAGATTCATGGCATGTATTTCATTCAGCTGTGATGGGAGGTTTGCTGGATGTTTTTGTACTTATTAGAATGTAAATAACTGGTTAATATTGTGACTGTTCCTTTTTTGTGGACCAATGTTTTTGTTTAATATACTTTTAGATTGAGAAAATATATCAGAATCAACATGCTAAATCCAACATTTAGAAATTTTAACTACAATAACAGACTTGAAACATTGCAAAATGTAGTAACTGTATACCATTTACAGATTAAGAAATTCAAGTTTTTCAAAACACTTTTATAACTACAGCCTTGAATGTCTTAATTTTTTGTTACCATCAAACACTAGTGTAAAAACATAACTTCTCTTCTGGCAATGCATATAAAAATTTAAAATGGAACAGCACCACAAGTAATAGTGTAGAATGTCTAGTCAGATACAACAATGTTACTTTCTAGACTGCTTCCACATACTTCTGAGAAATACTGCTAGGTCTACTAAAACACGATCATCATCACGTCCATCCCACTTCTTCAGCTTCAAGGCATTTTTAGGCTGAAGTTGAAAAGACTTTTCATTGCAGTCAATAAATATGACTTTGGATAGGTCTCTGTTCAAACAAGATAAGTCCTAAAAATAAATGAAATATTGCATGTTTATACGTATTATACATTTTTTTAGGTAATATTTTATAATGATGAGATATTAAATAAATAAAAGATGGAGGAGTATCACAATAAATATATAAGAAAGTGCAATAAGCCGGATATATTATATTCTAATCTTGTTGGAGAATTAAATTAAACATATAACTACAGAAAATCTTCAACATGGAAAAAACAATATCTTAACTCTGGATAAGAATTTAATTAAATACACAACTCACAAGAATTCTCAACCAAGATAAACAATATTCTAACTCAGCTTAAGTATATACATGATTCACAGGAAATTACAACAAGAACAAACAATATTCTAACTAGTTAAGCATTTAAATAAATATACAACTCAAAAATTATCAACCAGAACATACAGTAGAACCATGATTAATGGACACCTTGAAACAATGAACACTGCAGCATTAAGGGCAGAGCTTCTCAGGCTCTTTCTTTTTACTACTATTTGTAACTATATTAAATCTTGCAATAACATGCACCTCGATATTTTGGATTAAGGGCAGTATCTTTAGTCTCGTTCTCTATTCAGTCACTTGATAAAGTGGGCAATTAACCCTTTCGTATTGTAATTTTTCATATGTACATGTATTTTCTTACCTAGGGAACAGAAATAAATTAAAAAATGCATATTTCTTTGTCCCACTTATTTAATGTTTTTACAGTATACACAAAAACACTACTTACATACATGTAACAAAACTGGCTTTAAATGCATACACCAAACAAAATGGAGGGCCTTCAAATTCAGAAATATGGTACAGTCAATATGAAATCCAGCTATGCGTGGCTCATTTTTAATATTAGAGGCGTCTTGCTATAAAGGGCATTTGGACACAGTCAGAAGGGTGCCCTTAATCTCGAGGTTCTACTGTATAATGTTCTAACTTTAAAGAAGTACTACAGTAAATATACAATTCAAAGGCATTCTCCACCATGACAAACAGTATTTCAACTTTGTTATGTAATTAACAAAGCATATAACTTACATGAATTAACGACAAGGACAAACAATATTCTAAATATTTCACTAAATAGAAAACTCACAGGAATTCTTTTCCACCTGGACATGCTACACTCTCTGGAGTATCAATGGACAAACTAAATTTGAACAACTAGTGAACTAATCTACTGAACACACATCTGATGAATATTTTCTACCACAATGTATTATATCATCTCAGAAAAATAAGTGGGCAAGATTTTGTAATCAAAATTTTCAAATCTGAGTATATTTTAGGAGCTTTGTTTATTTACTGAATATAGCTAATGCATCAGTTCTACTGACATTATATTATTAATTATAAATATTACACTCAGAAAACATAAGAACCCTCAAACAGAAAGTGGTCAAGGACAAGGTTTAGGAAATGTGTAGTTAAATAACTATAGAAGGCCAGATAGCAAAAGCAGCTACTAAAAATGATATGAAGCTAAAGATACAAACAATAAATATCATCCTTGATTAACCCTTTCGAGACGGATCAGAGGTGAAAGGTCATGTCATCTTGTTTGTTGACTCGCATTCAAAATT